AGTGACAAACTGGAGCAAATTCAGAGGAGGGCTACCAAGATGGTGATGGGGTCTGGAAATCAAGCCATAAAAAGAACTAAAGGGCCTGCGTCTGTTCACTTTACAGAAAGACAGTGGACTTATTCTCTGTTGTCCCAGAGGGAAGGATCAGAGCCAGTGGGTTAAAATTACAAGGAAGGAGGTTCTGGCTAGATGAGAGGAGGAGCATCCTGACTACGTGAACTATCAGCCAGTGGAAAAGGCACATGGAGTGATGAGTTCCCCTTTGCTAGAGTCTTCAACAGAGGCCGGAGGATCATCTGTCAGAGATGCCCTAGTGGCTTCTGAAATGGTGGTGGACTGGATGTCCGCTGAGGTCATTTTTAACTCCATGAATTACGAGCATATTAATTCAGCCTGATTCATTTTATTTCATATGTACCACAGGACATATTTTATTAGCAAACTCCAATCGCCTTCAATGCTACCAATAGAGATGTTAAAGCCGATGGCTGCCCCCAAAGCAGACCTTTTCATGGTGCAGACAGAAAATTCTTCCGAGGGAAATAGCTTAAATCATTCCCCCCAAATGATATCCTGCAAAGGTGTTGGCTACAACGACCCTAATTCCCAGCCAATATGGCCAATGCAAGCTGCAGTCCAACAGATGGAGCGCTAGGATTGTAACCTCCGTAACGCTGCACACCAGAGAAAGCCAGTCGATCAAAGGGTTTTTTGATTATTTGTGCAATCTTTCTAAATGAAAATCACACTCTGAAGTTGGGCCATAGCTCTCACTTTAATTTCACATTTCGGTCTTGATCTGCTTTTAAAACTGGGTTCCCCCCTTTAAGCATTTCTCAAATGGAAATCCTGTTTGTAACAGATTATAAACAGCCACGAGAGACCAACAAGATCCTCGGGGAGGAATGACGAAGCCCACATACGACAGAGAGGCCGCTAATTATATATTCAGATTAATACAAAATTAGGGAAGCATTTGGTAACAGGCCAGTTTCTTTCACTCTATTCAAATCTTTGTAATACTGAGTTTTGCAGGTGATTCTTTTTCTCACAACCCCAACAAAGAATTGTCATTTTTACAACCATACCGTTGCCTGGATCAATGTTTTTGCTAAACGATCAAACCCAATTCCAGATCATTCTTACCCCCGGCTCCAAACTACTTGTGAAAAGCTGATTGGGGAACCAACTGGGACATGATTTTGAAACCACAAAAAGCTTGTTTTACTCCCCCAAACAACACTGGGCCTTTATTTTCCCCCTGGGACCCTCACTTACCCGTGTACTGCCCGTATCACTGTTTTTTCTAAGGAATTATTAGTGTATTTGCTATCTAAGTTGAAGAGGTATTTCGCCTCCCATTGGAAAGTAACTTGGACAGTTTTATCACGAGAAGTCACTTGGCGGGAGGTGGAGAAGTCTTCCCTCAGCCGCGCGGCCATGACGGTAGAGCGGGCAAGCGGTAAATGGTTCGTAACCGGTTGGCCCGGTTGGCCCGAATTCTGCTGGTGCTGGAAGGGAAGCACTTTCCCAACCAGGGGACCCGGTTTGTCCTGCTTCACCCCGTTCCTCGGGCTGGGAGAACGTGGCGTCCCTTTCTTGAGAGTTTCGGAGAGCGGAGAGGCGTACGAGTGCTCTAAGGAAATCAATACGACGCTTGAGTCCGACAGGTCTCCGGTCTCGTTCGGAAGGGCCAGGTGGGGTTTGACCCCACCGGGCCTCGCCTTCTTCTTCCTGCTGGAATTCACGGCGCTTCTTTCCTTAGCGTTCAAAGGCCAGTCCCTATCCCGGCCAGGCTCCCGGGCAGGCCAAAGGGACGGTCGGGAGGCTTGACCAGGAAGGAAAGCGCCCTTCCATTTTCGGGTGGCCCTGTGATACTCGTGATCAGAAGATTTGTGCAAAAATTTCCCCCTCGGCAGACGATGTTCGCGGGATGGACGGAAACGCCCAGAGTCTCTTCGACCGTTCCCGACCAGGGGAGAGTTGCAGGAGCTCAGAGCTAAGTCGGCCAACATGTTCAACGCATGCGAATCACAGTCCTCCCGCCCGGGGGGGCGGAGGGCCTCTGCAGCAGCTGTGTCCTTTCGTACGGGGACAGGCTCACCCCTTGGCCTATCCGAAGAAGTGCCATGGACTCTTTTCCTTGTAGCTGCGCAAGAAGAGACGAGAGCGTTAGCACGAGGGGATGGAGGTCGTCTGAGGTGGAAAGAAAGAGCAAAGCGTGCTACTCTCCAGAAGCCATCGCCCTGTCTAGTGGCACCCTGGTTTTATCTGATGTGAGCTCCCAAGGTAATCCTGGGTGGAGTTCATTTCGCCAGATCTAGGATAAATTTAGGGAGGTGGAAAGGGGATCCGTACAATGGCCTGAATACCAAAAACAACGGGGGTCCTCAGAAGGCAATAAATGGATAAATGGGAGCTCTTTGATTCTGCGGCCGATCTGGGCGCAATTTTGTTTCTGCAACATTCGAGCCGACTCTGAACCTGGTTCACCCAAGGATGAGGGGTCGAGATGGCTAAGGGGAGATCTAAAGAGAGCCCCTGGGCTTAAAAGTGAGCAGGGAGAGAAAACTGGTAACCCACCCTGAATCCTTGATTTAGCACATCGATGCACACAGATCTTTATGCACAAACTGACCAAACTCTGCTTCAATTTACATAATTCACATCATGATGTCATTACATCAGCGTTTCTCAAGCTCAGCAACTTTAAGATGCATGGACTTCAACTCCCAGAATTCCCCAGCTAGCACGTTACGGCATCATCTGCCCAATGACATCATTCTAATGATATTGGCATGCCTTTATATCATCTGCGCAATGACGTTTACGTTCCTTCGTGTCCTCAGTGTAACGACATCGTCGCCCCAATGAAATCAAACGACCCACTCCCCGTGACGTCAATAAAACATGGTTTCGTTGTACTGGAACTGGAATAAAACTTCCGACTACCAGCTTCTCATCCCCGCCCCAGCTTTAAAAAAAAAAAAGAGGGGGTGAGGAGGACGGGAAGCCAAATTATCATTTTGGTTTCCGTCAGGGTTTCCGTATCTGAACCACTTGCCACCATCTTACTTGGTCTCCTGGCATCCGGTTTGTCCACAGCCTTGACCTTTTCGGCCTCCTTCAGACGGGGCTTCTTTTCCTCCAGGACAGGCCCTCCTGAAGACCCCGTGGCTCCCTCAGGCAGCTCGCTCCTCGTTCCTTGAATGAATTCTGCAGACAAAACTTCAGCCCCTTGCAGAGACAAAGGCCTAGTGAGTACCACGGCTATCTGGAGGTGGCCCCAGAGGCATAAGAAATCACCCCAGTGAGCTCCTTGCATATCTCAAATTCAGCTGTCCAAACAACCCTTACTAACCTACTTATTTACACAGCACAAAGGATTTATAGGTGGTCCTCATTTAGCAAACACAACTGGGACTAGCATTTGGTCATTAAGTGAAGCAGTTGCTAAGTGAACTCATGACTGTGCTTACCATCTGACTTCTTTGGCTTTACAGACCTGAGAAAGTCATCAATGCAAGAACTGGTCACAAAGGTACTTTTTCATCACCATTGTAACTGTGAACGGTCACTGTACAAGGCAGTCGCTAAACAAGGATGACCTGGAAAGGCTGCATCTTAGAGGACCCAATCGAGGCTGCAAACCTCGGGTCGCCACTAGGGGGCAGCAAAGCATCCATGGAAAGCCTCACTCTTTCCTGCCCGCTAGTGGTTCCCTGGCTTTGGATTTTTGGAACCCAGTTCTGCCAGAAGCACTGCGTGTTTGGGATGAGATGCTTCCCCACGTTGGCTTCGTGCGAGCATCATCACAGATTTAAAAATGGAGAGCGCTCACTGATTTAGAGCAGAGGCAGGCCATCGTTTGGTGGCTTCGGCGCCCTCTTAATCCTTTGAGGGAGGGGGAAAGAGACTCAGCAGATGGGGCCATGATGCAAAAGGGGAAGACTAAATACTTATATGGGAGGGGCAGAACGTTTGGCTGGTTTGCTGGGAAGGGAAAGTTGGGGGGCCAATATATTTCTTTTTTAATAAACCTATGGCGAAGTCCAGGGGTGTCCTTGGGGCCATGTGTCAAGAAAGTCAAGATGGCGACCATAGTTTGTGTGATCCCAGCTGCCACCTTGACTTTTTTGACCCTCCAGACACCCTGGCTGAGTGCCCTTCTTACTGCGCCATGACTTAATCTTCAGGATTGGAAGGATAAACCTATCGGGCAGTGCACAAATGTAATTAATAATTAATCAATCAACTATTATGATTAATAACAACAGCAGCACTATCTATAGCTTCAGGTATTCAATGGTCACCTGAGTCGAAGAACAAATTCCTTGCCAGCGCAGATCGGCTGTGGATGAATATAATGAAATGTGCCTAGCATTCAATGGAATTGTTTCTATAAAATGTTTACATGCATATATGGAACTGTGAACTTATACCCCGTTTTCTTTCTCTCTCTCTCTCTCTCTTTTTTCTTTCCTTCCTTTTTCTTCCTTCCTCCCTCCTTCCCTCCCTTCCTCTCTCTTTCTTTTTCTTTCTTCCTTTCTCTTCCTTTCTCTTCCTTTCTTTCCTTTTTCTTCCTTCCTTCCTTCCTCCCTCCTTCCCTCCCTTCCTCTCTTTCTTTCTTTTTCTTTCTTCCTTTCTCTTTCTTTCTCTTTTTCTTTCCTTTTTCTTCCTTCCTTCCTTCCTTCCTTCCTTCCTTCCTTCCTTCCCTTCCTCTCTCTCTCTTTCTTTCCTTTTCTTTCTTTCTTTCTCTTTCTTTCTTTCTTTCTTTTTCTTTTTCTCTCTCTCTTTCTTTTTCTTTCTTTCCTGTTTCTCCCTCCCTCCCTCCCTCCCTCCCTCCCTC